GGGGTGGAGGTTTGTATTTATAATTCATGCAAGGAGATAATTTAAAAAAAGAAAAAGTGTTGAGAGGTTTTTTTTAGTGTGTGTGTTGGCCGTGGCTTATCTGCACGATGTTAATTCAATAAAGTGATCAAATCAACCCCGACCTTGTGAAGCTGAGCACCGTCGAGCAAAGTGTCCTTGGCGCGACGCGGAGGCCGGTGGTTTTGCTCATCCGACCCACGCTTTCTGAAGCCATTGCCTTTTGGGGAAATTCGACATTTATTCCCCCAAGGGTTGCATGCAACTATAATTGGCTTCATAATCTTGCTCTGGCGTGGCTTTTTCTTCTGGACATGTTTTGCTCCTGACATCAGGCTCATTTGTTGAGCCGAGCGTGCTTGCATTCACAGATATACGTGGGGGTATATAGCTGTAGAGTCATGGTATAGTGGCTAAAAATAATAGGCCTATCTAACTGGTTCACCCATTATAACCGTAATGAGCAAGATGATGATTGTGTTTTGGTTCTAGTTGCAAATGAAATTAGAGCTACTTGTAAATTATAGAGCAGAATATGATACATAGAGTACAGTATTTATATTAAATATTGTATTATTTCCATACAAATTATTTACAACCTTTGTTGATCCACTGCGGATGAAGGCCTTCTTATGCCATGTCGGTCATGAGGGTTGACTGACTATACTTCACCATGCTGGTCAGTGTGGGTTGGTGGTGGGGGGATGCCAGGATTGATTTAGATATCACTCACCACTGATGTTAGCAGTGGCTGGGAATCGAACTGAGGTTGCTTAGGTTTACAGAAGAGTGTGCTAACCACCGTGCCACCGCTCTACAACTCAAATAAACACATTATACACAAACAGAAGCTATTGCCAAGTGTCAACAACAATGTAAGTTTGATAACATGCTATAGGTAGTAGATTTACTGTAACGCCAAAGTCAGTCAGTGAACGCTGACTTAAATGAGATCTTATATGTGATTGTAGTCAAGATGTCGGCCTTATCATCTACCCAACCGATACACATTTCACACTTCGATTTATTTCAAACGAGTCCAAATATTTCACGTTAACTTACAAAAAACACACAAATTTAGAAATTGCTGTACACTGTTTGTCGACCACTCTTACTGGGGTGGAGTAGCAACTCGGTGGTTAGGGCGCTGTGCTTGTGAACACAACGAACCGAGTTCAATTCCCAGCCGTTGCTAAAATTGATGATATCTCAACTGGTTGTGCCCCCCCTCCTTCCTTCAAAAACCCGCACTAACCAGCATGGTGAAGTATGGTCAACCAACCCGCACTAACCAGCATGGTGAAGTATGGTCAACCAACCCGCACTAACCAGCATGGTGAAGTATGGTCAACCAACCCGCACTAACCAGCATGGTGAAGTATGGTCAACCAACCCGCACTAACCAGCATGGTGAAGTATGGTCAACCAACCCGCACTAACCAGCATGGTGAAGTATGGTCAACCAACCCGCACTAACCAGCATGGTGAAGTATGGTCAACCAACCCGCACTAACCAGCATGGTGAAGTATGGTCAACCAACCCGCACTAACCAGCATGGTGAAGTATGGTCAACCAACCCGCACTAACCAGCATGGTGAAGTATGGTCAACCAACCCGCACTAACCAGCATGGTGAAGTATGGTCAACCAACCCGCACTAACCAGCATGGTGAAGTATGGTCAAACCAACCCGCACTAACCAGCATGGTGAAGTATGGTCAACCAACCCGCACTAACCAGCATGGTGAAGTATGGTCAACCAACCCGCACTAACCAGCATGGTGAAGTATGGTCAACCAACCCGCACTAACCAGCATGGTGAAGTATGGTCAACCAACCCGCACTAACCAGCATGGTGAAGTATGGTCAACCAACCCGCACTAACCAGCATGGTGAAGTATGGTCAACCAACCCGCACTAACCAGCATGGTGAAGTATGGTCAACCAACCCGCACTAACCAGCATGGTGAAGTATGGTCAACCAACCCGCACTAACCAGCATGGTGAAGTATGGTCAAACCAACCCGCACTAACCAGCATGGTGAAGTATGGTCAACCAACCCGCACTAACCAGCATGGTGAAGTATGGTCAACCAACCCGCACTAACCAGCATGGTGAAGTATGGTCAACCAACCCGCACTAACCAGCATGGTGAAGTATGGTCAACCAACCCGCACTAACAGCATGGTGAAGTATGGTCAACCAACCCGCACTAACCAGCATGGTGAAGTATGGTCAACCAACCCGCACTAACCAGCATGGTGAAGTATGGTCAACCAACCTGCACTAACCAGCATGGTGAAGTATGGTCAACCAACCCGCACTAACCAGCATGGTGAAGTATGGTCAACCAACCCCCATGACCGACACAGCATTGGAAGGGCTTCATCCAGCAGTGTATTGACGAAAGAGCTGAAAATGTTCGTGTTACTATGAAGAACAGAGACAGATGCTTTATTAAATTGGAGGATTAATTTCGTCTGTAAGATGTCATCTCTAACAAATTATATTTTACTCGTCTGTAAATGCTCTTATACGTGTTTATAACATACATGCTTCAAATATTACTTGGGATTAAACAGTTTGTTGAATCAAAAGGAGATTAACACTTTAATATAAAATTAAGAAAGGAAAAAAGTAAACTGATATGTTTCAAGTCTGCTAAGTGACAGTGCATATTTCCTGCTATGTCAAGGATTGGAACCGTAGCCACTAACACAAAAAAAAATAAACAATAACTTTTAAAGGGCTCAAATAAGCTTGGAGAGGTGGTACATGATGGTAGTACACTTAGTCAGAGAGAGGCGCACGTATTTTAGAGAACATATTCCTTCTCCCTGTGCCCAATCTAATGTTTCAACCCTTACCCCTCTTTGTACCCCTCCACTGGAATAAACTCCCCCTGTACATTAAACAGTCCCCCTCATTAACCTCTTTCCGTTCCTCTCTCAATGCTCACCTCTTCTTCATTACCCATTCTCTTCCCTCCACTCACCACTCCACTCCTTCCCATCCCTCCCCTGCTCTTTCGTGTCCCCTGCATTCCCTCTGTTATGGCCACTCGTTCTTCGGCCCTTGCACGCCCTTGCCATCTAAAGCGCTCTTTTTCGACATAGAATTGTAATGTATAGCGACTTATTGTTAGTAGCTCAGCTGATTGTTGAGTATATTGAGTTTATTGATAACATTGATGTAGTTTATATTTTAGGTTTTTTTTTATCAGTTTACTATATGGTATTTATTATGTAGTGTAGTGTATACCCAGTTACTTTATATTAATAGCTCAACTTATTGAAGAATATATTGAGTATATTTTTTATATTGATGTAGTTTATACTTAGTTTTTTTCACATCGGTTTATTGTATGATAGTTGGGTAGTTCAGTCCTTTAGCGTCAATATACCAAATTCCTCTGTTGATATGTAAACTCTGACTTTAACATAGCTATTTCCGTGACACAGTTACATGCTAATCCCTCACATTAACATCATGCTAATCTCCCAGTTACATGCAAATTTCTGACTTTAACACCCTGCTGATCCAACACTTTAATACAGCTATTTCAATGCTAAATTCTCCTGTTGATATGTAAACTCCTTCGTCTGCTCCTCCCACCCAGCTTAAAATACGCTGCGAAGCTTAGCAGCGTTCACTGAAGCGCTGTCATCCCGACAGTTCTGTTCCTTCACCTGAAGAAGGCTACTTGTGTTGTGGCCGAAACGTCGTGAGAATTTATTTTATTATGTTTTATTTTTATTATTTTATTTCCATTCTACGTGACTTTACCGAAAGAACCAAGAAGACACTCTATTTTTGTTACCGCGTTTAAACTATGTAAAGCGTCTTGAGCTAAGGCGCATTATAAATATAAAATAAGATAAGTTAAGATACATTACATTGACTGTTTGGGAAAGGAAGTGGGTTTGTATGGGACACATCGTCAAGGGATTACGGTCGATGGGTGAGACTGACAAAAGACTGTTAGCTGAAGGCGGTAACAACCCCTATAGCGGATGGAGCAATGAGATCAGCTCATATGCAGAAGAGAGATACGTTGTGGCATTGCAGGGCCATGAGGAATGGCAGCAACTTTGGGAAGCCTTCATCCAGCAATGACTAGAGCAAGGCTGATGACGACGATGATAATGACGGGATTGTGCAACATTCTAAAAGACATATCAATCAAGAAGTGTACTCCAAATAGCCAACAGATCCACAATGCAGAGCCAGTCCATATGTCTGGGACTCTTGCACAGCAGAACAAAAAAATTGGTGCCATTTACTGCTTCTTGTCAAAACAAATCACTCCTTGCTGTACAATTCACTGGCACAAGCCAACCAACGATTCATTGTCACATGGCAGAGTGCCCTTTTGATTTTAACACAGTCACCCAGATTCCCGGTGCTTGCGATCTCCCTGGCTGGGTGAATGACAAGCCATCCCAGTTGTCTTCTCAGATGACAAACTGCTACCACATTTTGGCATGTGAGTGCGCTTATTTTTGTCTGCCTCCTCTTGCTCTTGTATGGCCTATGAAGAGCAACTATTATAGATTCCTTTGTAAGGGATTTAGCCATGCAATTGCTATGTCTAAGATTCGACAAATTACATGTACATCACCTTCAAAAATATATTTCGGGCCTTACGAAGCTATGTGGCCCATGGCTTGTTTGCATTGTTATTATTATAGCTCTGACGACATCTACATTCCCGGTTACATTAAACCCCACGAGAGGCAATCGAGACATGATGAAAATGCACACGTGCCACGTACAAAGTCCTTCCTTGTTAACCCTCTCCTCGTGCCCTCTCCTGTTTGACAAGGCGAAGCAGCCTGAGACATCGGGGGAAGGTCAGCAAAGGAGCGAACGTCGTGCCAGACCGTGCCATTATGCCAACCGACCATTGTTGACCCTTTATCCGCCGCTCTATCGACCCTCCCGTCTAACCCCCCCCGCCCCTCCCTTTCCGCGAACGAAGTCGAGCAAGGCGGTGACGAAGGGTGACTACCTGCGAGCCAACTCCGCCTCGCGACGCGCCCTCTTCCTCGCCATCCTCTCCATCACGGTGGGAACGGGGCTCTACATCGGCACCGTCATCGCCCTCATCGCCTACCTCTCCAACAACGGCCACGGATAACCGCCCGCCCCCTGGGCCGCCACGGCGGAGAGGCGGTGGCGGCAAGGAGGAGCGGCGTGGGGGGGGTGGGGGGTGGAAGAGGTGGCTCACTTGTGGACTTGTGGAGGGGGGATCCGGAGGTATCGTCATCATCATGTGCTCCTCTGTCTTCAAACCCCCCCCCCCTCCTCCTCCTCCCCCGCCACCGCGTGCTATTACCACCACGATTCCCCCGACTGACTCGCTAAAAGATGCTCAGAAAAACTAAGCACGTGCGAGATTGTCAGTGCTGCGGCTGCCCCCCCCCCCTCCATCGGTATCCACTGCCCCCCCCCCCCCCCCCACAGAATCCACCACATCCATAATCTTGCAGAGTCATCGGCTGCCGTCGCATCGCAGATGCGGTGCAAAGCCACGTCGGCCACATCAGCCAACACTCTCCTTGAGCACCAAACTCTTGATTGGTTCACAGTGACTCGACTCCGTTAACGCCATTTGTGTTGCAAGTCGTACTTTGGCAAAACAAGAAAAATAGTATTTTTGTCACTGCACAAAGACGCATTTTGTTTAAGAGTATGTTATAGTTAGGTAGCAATGTTTTTTTTAAGGTCTGGTATCGTAAATTAGGCTCGTTTTTTTTTCTTTCCCAAAATATTTGATAACTAATGTTGGGCTTTACATTCAGCTGGCAGTAACTGTCTTTGTGAATGAAAAGTACATATTATGCTCATGGCAATCATGCTTATGTCGTAGTCTTGCCTAATCATGGTACCGAAATCAGCATTAATATTTGTTTGGTTTGCTCATCTTTAGCAATCACGCCACTGTGTACATGAGCGAAATGTGCCCTGTCACAGGCTGGAAATTGGTTTTGCTGAATTATTTTAGTAATTTTACTTTTTCCTAAAATGTTTACATTTAAATAACGTGAAGTGAAATATTTTACGTGAGCGTAGCCAATCCAGATACACAATATTGTATTTTAATGAATAAAATGTTCACCAACCACCTTTGCTGGAGGAGGCCAGTTTTAAGATTAGGATATGGAAATGGCGGTTCTGGTGTGAAATGTATACATTTATTAATGGCTTAACTTATTCATGCAGAATGGTACTTCACAGATAATTGATGTTCAAGCCTCATATACTTTAATAAGTTTATATGTAAATTTTGATTTAAAGCTTTCGTGACTGCAGTAATTCATATTCTTAGTTTTTTCGGTAAAGTCACGTTGAAGAGAAACAACAAAATAATAATATATATATAAAACAATAAAAATATAAAAACTTGTTATATATATATATTTTATTATTTTGTTGTTTCTCTTCAACGTGACTTTACCGAAAAAACTAAGAATAAGTTTATATGTAACCAAGGTTTGTCATCATGAGGTTATCATGAACCTTTGTTTAGTGTTCAGTTGGGTTGACATAGGCTTTGGAAAATCTCCCATGTGTTGTCGGGTTGTGCCACCTGTTCGGATTTAAACGGCATCTTTGAGCTATGCAGCACAGCCGTGAAAACCCTACTTTAACTATCTTTCAGCCTCACTTATCTACGGAAAAAATACAGACATCCTAAAAGTCAATGTGTTGGTGCCATCCACTGTGCATGTTGATGGCTTCACAGTGGCGAGATGTTAATTGCCCCACCTGGTATACAGGAGGTCGTGGGTTTGATCCCAATCCCGACGCCTGTATATTTGGAGTTTGCATATTCACCCCCGTGGTCGCGATGGTTTTTCACCGGGTCCTCCGGGTTTTCTCTCCACATTTAGAAACATGCATTTAAAGTATTTGGCTGCTATACATTTCTACATGATAGGCCACTTCTTTGAGCTATCATTCGTGGCCAGGTCGCTTCTGCAAAAGAGCTACATAGCTCAGTGGCTTTACATGGTAAAATAAAAAAAGCATTGTTTAGTTATTACGTAGCTAATTGACCTAATAGAGACCAACTGCACCTCCACAAACGTTTTTAGCTGTTTATCGGATTTTCTCAGCCTATGACCAAACCATATGGAATGCACCCGAAACTGTCAAGTCTCATACGCCAAGCAGAGTTGAGCATGCATGGTGCCTGGATGGGTGATCGCCAAGCGCAAAAGACAGGCGTAGCAGGCATTGTGGGCAACAGAAGGCAATGCAGCAAACGCCATTGCTTTATGCCCCCCTCCCCAATTTTCCCCGCCTCCACCAACCCACACTACCCAGCCTGGTGAAGTATAGTCAAAATATCCCCCACGGCCTGCATGCGCAAGGCGTGGGCTGTAAATGTCGATGCACAGTGGAATTGCTGGCACGAACGCATGATCACATTGGTTGGAGAATAACGTCATGGACCGTGTACATTTATACGACATTCCTTCAACGCTCAATTGATTCTTAATCTCAAAGTACAATCGTGTGGGTGAGGATCAATTACTCGCAACTTATGTAATTTATACGCTGTTACGTATGGAATAATCGTGTGAACAAAACTGTATGAATTGGAGGAGGGGGGTGAATCATTATATGGTCTGGAGAGCCAATAGGGCCAATGCCTAAAACACATTTGATTTATTTGTGTGTGAACAGAGTTTTGTTTACTTTATATGTTATCACATTTACTCGTACCTGTAGTAAATCCCAACAACTGGAGGCCAAAGTTATAATTTGGTTTTCAGATACCGATGTATATACGGGAGGTGTGTTTAGTACGGATGAATAATTTCTACACTGATCTCTGATTAAACATTACTGCTCGCCCGCTTTACAAATGGCGAGGAGTGACGCTGAATTATTCGTGCAATGCAGGATATATTGTTACCCTTGGTTTGTTCTCGTTAAAGCGATGCAAGATTCGTGTTTTGTGTCTGCTATCGTTTGACGTGCCACATCAGCGCACATTTACACGATGGTAGTAGGCATATTAAAGGCTGGCGACCGTTGTACATCACAGTGAAACCACGCCACTGCTCTGCGAATTGGTGAATTTAAAGGCGCGGCCCTGCAATGTCTTGTGCAAACCACTTTTGGAAGCAGGACCCCACGAGAAGAATCTCGAGGAGAGCCACGTCTAGAGGCTATCGTACTCTTTCATGCCGACCCAAACGTCTTGGCACAGAGGTGGGAGTACCCACACGTTACCCGACCGCACATGCCCTTCCGATTGAGGAACTGTGGTTCTACGCCCTGATACTGCTGGGTGCAGCGACATCGCACCGCTGGTTCTTAACCTTCGCTTGCCCACCTTTGGTTCGTTCTCAATCGCATATATATTTTTTATAATGTTAATAAATACCTGGGCTTGATGAAACAAAGTAGATGTATATACATGTGCCCGTGCTGAATTTGCGTTTCTATGATTTACCTTCCAAACAAACAATCTGCCACTGTCTCGCACCCCCAGAAAGGTCATCTGGTACCCCCAGGGGGTGCACGCACCCCCCAGGGTAAGAACCACTGCATTACACCATGATGGCAGGCAGTGCCGCCAAAATTCTTCTTAAATATGTATAACTTAGTTTAATACCTGCTCAATTATTTAAGGGTGGTTAAATGATAAAGATTACCGTAATTATGTATAAATAGATGTTGCTATGTCGCATTGATATAACTTTAAAACTTACTGTGTGTGTATATATAGTCATTTTTTTATTGTCATAAAAATCCGTTATGAACGCTGTCGATAAACATTATGTAATGACTGTAATGTTCATTAAGTAGCATTAAGTATTAAATAATGTTCATTCAGTCGTTAATTGATGTGCAAAATCAAATTAAATTAGGAACAGAATATTTCAGTGTCCTATAAAGCGATGTGTATTATATATCACAAGACAGGCATTATCTTTGTGAAATAGTTTTCGCTTGATTAGGCATGATTTAACGTGTTAAATGTTTTCATAGCCATAAACACTATCGTTACAACAAAATAGCAAGTCTGTATAGGTTAAACGAAAGATATCCATTTGATTGACCTCCGGTGAATACACGTATATATTTTGTATAAATGTAGATTTTGTCTTTCACTAGCCTGAGGTAAGTTTGTTTTTACCTCAAACAAACAGAGGTAGAAGAAAAAGGTGAAACATTGTGTAGGAACATTTTAAAAGTATTTTTTTGTATGAAGTACGACACATTTAGATGTGTATTAAAGTTATTATGATTAGCACGTAATATATATGTTACCATTACTGTCCGGTAGATGTTTTACAAATCTACTCAGCAATGTTGGCATTTAGAGTATGTATACAGTACAGTCATTTCCAGACACCTGTGATTAAACTGGGTCTTCGGGTGCTGTGAGTCTATGGTTTCAAACATCACACTAAATTTGGTTCTGCATTTAATTTGGCTAAATTCCAGCTGAGAATTAAAATATCTGGTTGACTGTCATGTCATGAACTTCACTCTGATATACAGAGTGACTGAGAAAATGCTCCCCTCTCTACTGCGTGTGGACTAGAGGTTACTTGAAGGGATCTCAGATGTAGCTCTGTGATATGTACTTCCACTGGCCATTTTAAGGGTTTCACTGCTGTGCGAGAGATTTTGGAGGGATAATTTGTCTCGTAACGTGACGATGATAGCACAATCGGTGTAAAAAAACACAAGCTCAATTCAGTCTGCATACTTTGTTAATACTGCAATTCTGTAGAAATTGATTCAAACAATCCTTATCAGCTGAAAATGTGATTGTTCATAAGCAAGGTAGGCATTTCCTGATATTTAAAAATATGAGAGGCCCACAATTCTCAGCTGTAGAGAGTTGTTAGTCATTACATTTGCCATGGTTTTCCGATGAGTTTTCGGGTTGTAAAGAGAGTTGTTCTATATGACATAAAACCTCTTGCTCCATGTGCTGGCAATTTCTCCAGAAATTGAATATCGAATAGAATGCAGTTTAAAATTCGTTTCAATTCGGTTCCTGGACAACTTCCCAGCATGTAAAGTGAAACGTTAGACATCACACCAAAATGACACATGGTGCAAACTGAAAAACATCAGAGAGCTACATGGCACACACTTATGTCGTAGTGGAGTACTGTATACGTACATTCTGAAATTAAGATATCGTGTATGTATGTTGAACTTCTTTTGCACGGACATAGCCAACCGCATAAATCAGAGGTATGGGAGAAGGACAATCCACGATACACGAGAAGCACTTCTAAATAAATTAATTTTCTTTCATCGTAGAAATGTGTTCATCATGTCTGTAAATTATGGTCACTGGAACCATGTATAATTTGACTTTTACATTGATTAGCATAAACAAACTAGTAATAACTACAGCACTTTGTGTAGGGTGTTATACAATGTCACACGTGTACGAGTACTGTATGCAGCATATACACAAATGTCGCTCAAAAAGTTTTGTGAATAAAACTAATTTGCACAGGGAAAAATCACAGTCGTGTGACTCTGTGTTTCTGCGAGGTGATGTTTCATTTTATTTATACTTGGTGATATTTCAGGATAAAGCTCGCAGGATAACGGCAGTCTCCACTGAGCAAGCGGAAAGCATACATAACATTTCCAAAGTATTTAAGTGTGAACACTTAATTTCCAAAGTGTGCCACCTACTGAAAAGTCAGAGTGCACGTGCAATAATTCACAGGAGTATATATTCCAGTCGGCTGGAATTATTATTTGAAATGTGCACAATTGTGGTTTGGTCTATCGAAAATGGATGACTTGTCAATAAAAATGGGCCTTATAAAGAAGCCTACCTCTTTGTATGTGACTGTAACCTATGAATATTTCATTCTCAAAAGACCCTGGCCCACCGCAAGTGAATACTAAATACTAATTAAAATGTACTTTCCTTTAAAACGGCGATACAAAGCAAAACAGTCAATTAAATCATGCGGTTGGCATATTTATGGCATCTTGATAAGCACTCCAGCTTGCTGTCGTCCAGCTCTGGATTTCATCATTTTGATTCTGGCGGCCTTCAACAGCTGTCCTAGGTGCACTCTGCTGCAGCGAGCATTTGTTACACAGGATATTGTGGTATATATTGAATAGGGCTGTAACAATGCAATGATTCATTGATTAAAATGTATTCTGCTCACAAAACATACACTGAAGGGTGCGTATATGAATTGAGGATTTTCGAATGGTATGCCTCGCATGTAATGGGTTCACGTGACCCCTGCTGCCAACTAGAGGCCGCTAATTTCACTAAAATAGAAACAAGAATAAATATTTAAAATCGAATGTCAACGCAGCATTTTGACGTTTCATCACA